TAGCGAGTCGTGGGGTAACCGCCCCTCCGGGAATAATCCTGCATCGAGAACGCCGCGTACCAGCGTGCATCCAACCTGTCTCTGATTTATACGGGTTTGCTATTAATTATACCCACCCACTAGCGCGCGCCCATCCTTCCTCCACTTTCTCCATATCGTCTCTTCGTTCCTGTCTTTTTCTCCGTTTATTTACTCTGTCACTAGGTGTTGTTTTTTAATCTTTATACACGTTTGAACTTTTGTAAGCGCTCATTTGCTTCTATTATATATAATTAGCAAAAAAGATTTACAGGACACTTTTTTTATAATTAATTTTAAATAAACTTTAAGAGAAAGCTTAATTTAATGATTAATTATTAAAACATATATTGAAGGTGAAAAATTGCGGAAAGAGAGAATACTAAATTTTTATAAAGAAAAAATGAATAATATTATTTATTGCTATGCCACTAAAATAAACCAAAATTTAAATAAAATTTAAGATAAGATGCATTAAAAGACAATAAAGAGAAGATATGTGTGTTTATTAAAATGGGATTATTTTTGCGAAAAAAATAGCATTAAATCCTAAATGGCGATTTTGCGCGCTTTCTCCGAATCAACTTTCGACCGTTATGCCAAATGTTTTTATTTTGTTTTACACGCGCCAAAGAATTCGAGCCATCGCGTCGAGCCGAAAATTCCGTCCCGGGTTTTGCGCCGGTCGTTGTTTCGACTGCCACTGGCCGGACTCGACGGGCTGCGGCGCAATTAAATTAAATGCTTCGGATTAATTGTTCGAAAGCAGTTAAATTAGTTGCGTTTGTTTCGCCCGATTTTTGCGCAATCTCGCTGCGGAATGCGTGAGATGCACGCATCGGGGGAATTTCGTTACCCTCGCGCGTTATATAGTTCGGTGCCCTGCGAAATCACCGCGATGCAAACGTATCAACGCGGAACGATGGCGTGCCCCGAAAAATTCATTTGCAAAAGCCGCATTCGGCGCGCCTCTGTGTCACACCGAGCGAGAGCGATCGAGAGCGGTGCGCGCGTTTTCCCAGTATTCGATTAAAAGCTTAAACAAGAATCGACCTAATTATTAATATAATACACTGTGGGTGATGTATATTTCATGACCGTAACAACGAATTTAATGTATACCTTTGAATTTTTAAACATCATTGACCAGAATTAAACCACTAAATAAAACATTTATAAATCCACAGACATAAATTTATATCCTTTCATCCTTTTATATATTTCCATTTTCATTTTAAATACAATTCCATATTTGGAGTAGCGTTTAAGCGACGAAATACATGATTTGTATCGCATTTTATATATCAAATATTATATCAAGAAGAAAAAAAAATACAAAATCCGGAAACAACGATGCTCTCGCGCTATCATTCCTGTCTCTAGGGTGGCTCGCAATTTTCCTTCGATAACACGACGAAACTTCCCCCTATTACTACGCATACCAGCAGCCGATGAAGACCATCCCCAATGCCCCCCGTCTCGATGATGCTCGGCCGGCCAATCCCTGTCGAGGATCGTATAGCCGGGTATACTCGGCAGCCGGAGCGGCCGAGAACCGCATCCTAGAGTGCAGCTGCAGCGCCGGCGCGGACTCTTGAGCCGCATTGCTCGGATTCTGGCGAGGATGCGTCTAGGAGCGAGAGGCTGACGAGCTCGCAAGTAACGCGTCGATAGACATGGTCAGACTGGCATCCGGCCGCAAGCTCTCGACCTCATCGGCAACCATGAGATACGTTGGCCTGCCCGAGTCCACCCGGCTTTCGAGCTGAGTCCTCGCCCACCCCTCCCCTTCCCCCCGTCCATTCCTAAGATAGAGAGACGATCTCGATGCTCGCCCATCCCTCGCCGGCTCCTACAGTGGGTGCGAGACATCCGGGACACGACGTACCGAGACGAGATATGCATCATTTGGTTACCCGACTGGCCGACTAGCGCATCTCCCGATCGGCGTGCCACCCAGATGCATCCTCGATCGTATTGGCTCCGGGCGATCCGGAATGCGAAAGGGTCCTCCAGTCAAGATTTTCAGCATAACTATGCGAGCATGCAATGTCGGATTCGGATCCCGATGAGTCTGCGTTCCGATATGTCCGCGTATCGGCGCGACGAGCCCGTTATGCACTCGTGTGCTTCGTTATTGGAGAACATTGCGTAATCGTCATAGTAGCGCAAGAGTAATGGGACGTTAATATGTATTGGCGCGCATTCGTACCTTGATTTTCAGGACACTACTGTTATTACTATATTTAAACATTTAATCTGTATTTTCACTTCATGAAAATCTTGATGGCATACGCGAAGATCAAATCGAATATCTATCATTTATCGCTTGCATTTTTATTTAATTTTATTTATTACATTTTTATGAGTGATAAAATATCGATGTGACGCTTGTACAAGACTTTCGTTGAATTTTCGCTAAATATATTATCAGCAGGATAATTATCCTTTATATTTACTTAAGTTTTAAAGTCGAGATATTTCGAAAGAATGAAACGATTCGTTTTCTGCAAGAGAAATGAATTCTTTTACGAAATGCGACGCATACGCGATACGCGAACCGTTCGTCCAGTAACGCGCATACCCGACACCGAAATTGCATACCTTCGTGTACGCATACATACGGGCTGGAAACAAACGAATAGGGTTGTTCGGGCGCCGTAAAGGGTCCGATGGTACGAGATGGTGAAGAGACGCGAGCGGGGGCTCGCTCGGGGGGTTGAAGGGAGCGAAATGGTGGTGGATGGTGGTGCCGGTGACTCGGTCGCACGTAGAGACCGAGGGGTTTGGGAAACGTAATCGCTCTGGCCTCGCGCGCCTCAACTGTCCCCCCTTTTACCCCATACGCGTCTCGTCTTTCTCTCTTTCTCTCGTTCTTCCCCCACACTGCCGCTATTTATTGCTCACACTCGGCCGGTTCACAACATAAATATGTTACACCTATGGCCGCACCTATTGCACCGAGTTTGCGAATTCCTCCACTGTCGGTCGAATTCGAGCGAAGAAAGAATGTCCGCAAGCGGGCGAACAGATGGATTGGTATATTTTGAAAATAAATTGGCTCGTTTGCCACGTTAGATGCTCGTATATATATACATACTTTAAGGTAATAAATTTCAAAATTTTTAATTAATTAATTAAAGTATTATAAAATACATAATTTTGCAATATACAATATAAAATTTATCTACCTCATATATTTGTATACATATATATATAATGCACTACATAGGTTGTTTTAAGTCTCTGAAACTTTTTCTATAAATAAAAATCTTATCTTTGTGGACTTTTTGGCACCAATCTAGAATTATTTTGTTATCTGTCTCTTAAGCACATTGAAAAATCGCGATCATTTTTTTTTTAATTCATGCGATTAAAAATTAAAATTTTTTTTAGAAGAAGAGGCTTTAGGAATATAAATAAATAGAAACAGTGTGTTGTTTTTTATTTAATAAATAAATAAATTTTATTTTATTACACTTATATACAATTTAAAAGTTCTAGTTATCAAAACATTTAAATAAAAATTATAAATTTGTGCATCAGCATATTCATTAGAAAAAGAATTTGTATTTAAATTGACCAGAGAAAATAATTTATATAAAAGGAACGCATGAGATCTGCAATGTATATATAATATCATATAAAATCAATTTGTTAAAATTTATACAATTTTTACGATTCTTAGTATACTTTCTTGTATTCTAATTATTATTTCTTTTTCGTATAACATAATATTAAATGGAAGAAAATAATGTAAAAATAAAAATTAGTCTTTACGTTAATCTTTATCTTTTATACTGTAATATAATTAAATATAAAAAAAATATTAGTATATATACATATATATCAATTATTAGATATGTATATAATTGTAAATTATAATTCTATTTTACTAGAAAAAATTTTAAATTGTTAAAGTATAGATTTAAATATATCACGTACTAGTTTTATTTCTCTTTCTCATTTCATTATTCTAAATATATTTTCGCCTTGTTTTACGCAGAAAATTCCATCAACTTTTTTAAATACTTTCATGTTACACCCTCAAGAAGTGCTTCTCTTAGGGTATACGAACATAGGGTGTCTATTTGAAGGGTAGCATCGAGGGTTAAGTTTCAAAGATAAAAGAAGGACCAACTGTTGAATATCGGTTCTCTCCAACCAACGCCAAGTACTATTATACATCAAAGTTTCTTACATGTAGCATATTATGTTCTAAAATTTTTTACATATCATATTTTCATATAAGCGCGCTATAAAAGATTAGTTATAAAAATAAAGCATTATCTCTTGCATCAGATTAATTTGTGTCCACATTACTATATACAAATTAAGCAATTTTTTATATTTCATTTCATATATATTTTATATATTTAATAATATAAAACAATTTATCAATCGATGTAAATTAATTATAAAATAATTATATCAAAGGAAAAAATTTACGAGTTAAGATTGACGCTTAATTATAATATTATCATAAATAATTTCATAAATGTGAATAAAAATTAACTAATATACATAATATACATAATACATCTTAATAATATTTTATAATTGTAGAATAATATATATATATATATATATATATATATATATATATATATCTTGTTAATCGCGAAAGATGAATGAAATGTTTTTTTACATCGTTTTTCTTACCCTGTTTATCATGTATGAAATTTTTATACTATCGAATGAAATATTCGATTTTATGTAAATGCATTTCTTTTATTTATTATTTACACGTTTATTTTTATAGATATTTTATCTCATAAAGGGATACAAATATGAATCTCAATTATCATAATTACTACTAAAAATATGTCCAATGATTCTATTTTTAATTAGACATAATAAGATATAATTAAAGGAGACGCACACATGAATAATTACTTTTATACAAGTAATTGTAAAAGAAATGTATATGGAAGGAGATAATTTTACAAATAATAAGTAATATAAATAAATAATTTTCTAACCTTGTCCGTAACTCACGTTGAAACGTCTTTGTCGATTGTTCTTGATTTTCAATGGAAACTCGATCTCGGCAGGTTTTTCCGAAGCACGACTAAATCTTTCACGTCACAGTAATATAATATGACAATGACGCAATCGATCGTTTATATAAAGCGTTGAAATCGGAGGGGAATGGAGAATGAGGGTGAGAAAGAGAGAGAGACAGGTAAATATCAGAGGAAAAGGGTGAGAAAAAGGCAAGGGAATGACGGTGTGGAATGGGTTGAAGGGTATGAGTTAGAGAAAGAAGCTATTCAAGAGATTCGCGCGGAAGCGTAACGTTCTCCGGCGACGAGAAAATATCTTCCCGTTACTTGGAACTTCCTCTCTCTTTTTCCCTCGTAAGCTCTCTCGCAAGCGCCCGCTTTCGCGCGCGCACCGGGCTCTCGCAGCTCCGCGAATGCACGTGCAACTCGGACGCGTGCCACGTGGTGTTTGGTCGGAGTGGCACGGCTACGAAAGCCGGAGCCGGAACGGCGAGCTTGCAAGCACCCGGCGTTTTCCATTGGCCGAGGGGTGGAAACTGCGCATGATTGCGGGTGTGGCCCGAGCTTGAGGGGTGGAATAAGCTCGGATCGGCGATAGGACACCTCGTGAGAGGGCACGTCTTCGTGGGTGGTCACCGGGTGCCCCGGTCGCCATCCCGCCCCGCTGAAAGCTCGAAAGCTCTTTTTCCTTAATCTCGTAACGAGCGCGAGAACTGCTCTCCCGTCCGAGTTTCCAACTTGCGAATTGGCTTCTTCCGCGCGAACGGGCGTGCTCTTTCGTGGCAATGATATGGCGGCACTCAAGTGTTCATCATCGCGTGGGAAATCGCGCGGCGAACGCGGGAGATTAAGTCTCGAGTAGTAACGTCAGCGTCAAGTCAGACACCTTGGTATACGTACGAGATGGTTCGATAAAGCGACATATTAGAGTGAATAAAATTTTGCAAAAAAAAAACAACGTAAGAGGTATAAATTTAAAAATGAAAATTATTATATTTGTTGTATAATAACAAAGCTATTTAATAGCATTTCTTAGGAACATGCATTGCATTAAACACAAAAATAAAATCAATTTCGTATATGATACTTCTAATTGTAAATCTTGAAAAGTGTGGATCTTGAGGAAAAGGAATACAATTCTTAGCGTGATTTATGAAATAAACTAATAAATATATTTATTTGAAATTTTCACAAATTTTTCAAAGCTTTCGTTTATTTCCGCTCTGTCCAAGCCGACAAAGCTATATGACGCAAAAAAGTTTTATATAATATTAAGAAATAACGATATTAACTTAAGAAAAAAATATTAAAATATTGACCGCAATGGTGATACAAAATAGTTTTCCTTTTTTAGCAACAGGTGGAAAGCATTCGAAATGCATATCACCAAAAAAAAAACAGAAAGAGAGAGAGGAAAAAAGAAAAAGAAAGAGAGTCAAAAGAACGGAGCGACGAGTGGAGATAAAGTTTAAACGTTTTGACAAATCGAGTGCTCGCACTCGATTTGTCGAAATTAAATTATATCATCGACCCGTTTGAACGAGTTCGTATACTTGCGCGATGTTTGGTCAGACATTAACAAATGCAGATGGCTTGTGGGTATTTGACGAGGCCGCGAATCCGCGATAAAGCGAAAGTCTAATCACAGCTGGCCGATAAATAAATCGGGTCGGCTAAACAGCGAGTCAGTCAGAAATTGGCGTTCGGTTCAGTGGACAAGGGTGATCTCCATCGCGTATTTACACGATATGCCTACCGCGATTGGCGTACTCGTCGTTTTACCCATTCACTCTCGGGGTGGTATTTGTGTTGAAACTGCCCCTGACGTGATGTATTATCGATTATAGCTCGGATTTTCGAGGTCGACGTTCCATCAAGATTCAAAGATGTTCTCATTATGAGTTTCAGTTATTTGACGATTCGTGTCAGAGAAATCTCTCCAGAATTTATTCGTTCAATTATAATTCTTTACAACAATATAAATCCCACAATCTGATAAAATAAACGTAATATCTTTTAACGAATTAATTTTTTTATAATAGAGTCAATATCCTAGAAATAAATACAACTTTGAATTTCAATATAGTTGCATTATTAATTTCTCAAAGAAATGATGAATTTCTTATCTTATTTATTGTAATAAAATTACTTATTTTTCGCCTTCAAATCTAATGCGGTGAATGTAATTGTGATGATATTCTTCAACCAAAATGTGACTCGATAAAGAATATATAATTATAATAATTTTTCGCATTTAAATTTAGAACATCAGACTTGTTAAAGATCGCATCTTATGCAACATTGAGAAGCTAGAAGATTATTACGCCGTGTGTCTTCAACTAGACGTCTGGACGTGAATGTTTAACGGCCTGTCGTCTCGACGGCCGCCCAATTATATGATGTCAATTATTGATTAATTGCAATTATAACGCGAACGGTTTCGAGAGGGCCCGATACGGATATAACGATCGCCATTTCATAAATTCGCAATGACGCGAGAGAGAGAGAGAGAGAGAAAGAGAAGGAGAGGAGGGAGGGAGGGAGAGAGCGAGCGCACCGCGGCCTCTGAGTGACGTGTCATTTATCGCATAACGCGAACGTTTATGCGCATTCGTGTCGCATAATTGCAATTAGAGCGGAATTCATTTACATCGACCGACATTCGATTTGTTCCGAGAGAAAGCCCGGGATTTACACGTACCCTCGACGCGGCGCGGCGCGTGAGCGCTCGTGTTAGTCGTGTCGGGATTTATTTCCGCGCACGTCAATGCCGCGACAGTTCCGCGATGTAAATAGGATTGGATTAGCCGTTGGATCGCCCGGTTTCGCGAGTGAGAGAGAATAACTTCTATTACGCAATAACGAAAACCGCGACGAGGAGCGATAAATAAATCAGGTCTGTCAAGAGATACAGCTCTATTTCGCGCGACGTAAGCAAGCGATTAATGCGAAACAACATGTTCTCTCCGAAAAAATAATCTATGGCTAAATGTTAATTAAAATGCTGATAGTAAGAGGTGAACAAACGATATTTTACAAAAACGTTAATTCATCTATATTTGTAGCAAATGATATGTTTAACAATATACATTTTTTATCTTATTTTCGACAAATGAGATGTTTGCTTATCTAGCTTTTATGATTCTTAATGTCGATTTATATATCTTCCTTTTGGAGAAATAGAATCAAAAAATGTTAAACATATCCATAGATCTCGATATGCATGTTATATAAAACTGTGAAATATAAAATTCAAGGAATGATGTCTTTTTAAATATATTTATCTTTGATTATTTTAAAGACAATCTTCTCTTGTCAAAAATGTCGAAGCAAATTGCCATTTATCGCATTTATCTTTTCAATTGCCATAATTATATTTTAATATAATTAATAGCGGACTTAAAATAAAATAGACTTGGAATTAATTGAAGAATGCGACTTTTTCATATTTTCGTTTGAAGATCAATTTGCCTTCTCATTTTCAATCGTCAAATTAAATAATAATTAGCGACTATAAAGATAAATTAATAAACATGATGAATATAAAGGAGAAATTTGAATTTAGAACAGTATGAAATAAAGTATTGCCGCGTTTTCCAATTGTTTCAGTCTCCGGTTGCGAGTACAACTCAACGACCGACAGCGCGATCCGAAATTTTATACCAATTTTTCAAGAGCCGCACCATTCTACCTGGCGCGTCGGGATTAAAAGATAATACCGGCGATCCAATTTAATCGCACGATTGACGGGTAAACAGACACCGCGGCGTTCACTCTCGTCCTCCTCCGTCCCTTCTCTACCCTTTTAGGACAAATCCGTGGCGCGATGCCCCCAAACCCGGTAGAAAATATAATTCAAAGATATTTATAGCTGGATTACCGCGCTGGAATTGGGTATCTAATATACATGACCGAACCACCGAGTTGCCCGAATTTTAATTGTCCCACCGAAAAACTGGTCCGAGGATATCGATCTGCGACGATCATCGAGCACACGCGAATCTCTGTAAACGTAAAATTATAATTAATGATGACATACGTGACCTTTTCGCGGATGAATGTCAGATATGATTTTACACCGCGAGCTCGCAATCGGAATCGTACGTATATTGGACAAGAGTTTCTCGGCGGGTTCGGGTAAGGATTAGCCGCAATTGATAGCCACGAGAATGGAGGGACGTTTCTGAATTTGTCGTGCACAGTCGTAGCTGTTCAAAGAGCGACCGTTGGCATAGCTCGATTGCATTCATGCGCGATTCGAATTAATATTTCGCGCGGCTACATTTATCTATTTTAGAAATGTCGATTAGTAAAAAAAATTATTCCTCGGCAAAAATTTCGAATCAGCGATGATGAAATTACAATCACATTTTAGTGCTTCCAAATATACGACTTATATTGTTTCATCGATCAGATTGATATATTGTTCGAGTTTGTTTTATTTTCAACTTTACAAGTTCCTCCCGATATTCCCGATTACTCGGACCGAATTAAATTCGGAAGTTTGCAGAGCGACCAGATCATCTCGTTGCCGTGACTGGTCCGCGACGATAGGAAAGCCGAAACGACGTAGACTCGCAGAACGTGCCGAATGCGAAATTAATTGGAGCCAGCCGGTGCGGCGCGGCGTGCGGCCTCACCGCGGCCGGGCCCGTAGGGGTAATTTTGATCCGGATCCGGGAGTTAGTGCCGGGACAGTGTCCAGTGTCCGCCGGACGGACAGCGCGGCGCGGTTAGTGCCGGGCCAGATGTCGCCACGGGCGTGACGTCACCGGTTAACTACCCCTCGTGGCGGACACCACTACAGCGGAGCGCCTTCGTCCGCCGACGGACACGATATGCGGGGATGATTCTGATTAATTACCGATAGTTACACAAGCTGACGCCAGACTCTCCGTTGACAACCCTCCACGGTATCGCCGGACCGCGCGGCAAATCCCTCCCTCCCGTCTCCCTTACCCATCTCGCCGGCTATCGAAAAGTCGCAGGAAACCTCGCGTTTTATAAATTGACATTCCAATATTTTGCTATAAATTTTAAGTTATATTTCACGTTTTTTTTTTTATATTTTTAACGAAACTGAACTCGATCGTATAACTCGTAAGTTGAGTACTACAAAAATAATGGCTACAAACATGCAAAGTGATCCGTCTTTATTGTATGCTATTTCGTACAATATGTGTTGTATTAAACTCTTCCGAAATGATTACAAATCAGATATCACATCTATTCACGGAAAATTGCTATAATATATCATTTCATGATATTCTGATATTCCGCACTGTAGCGCGTCGTATGTACAATAACGCGCCGATTTATTAGAGGCGTCATATATCGGATGGATCAAACAATCCGTTTACGTCTGATGTAGATTTTTCGGTACGTGTCGCGCGTACCCCTCTTCCCCGTTCCCCTGCAATGTTCATTTATCGATTCGCCGAGGCTTAATTCATTTCGAGGGTGGCGACGAG